TGCCCCCAGGTCCCACCATGCCACAAGGACCCACCTCATCACACCCCAGGGCTCTGCCCCACGCAGGCCCTGCCCTCTCATGACTTGCTTACTCTACCCCACCCCTCCGCCTCGCCGTGCCGTGGGGCCCAGATCCTGCCCTGTCACACCAAGGGAGCCCCACCCCACCCACGCCACATGGCTTCTGCCCCTCCCACAGGTCTTGCCACGAGGACCCCGCCCCACCATGCCCCGCCCCTCATGCAGTGAGGGCCGCACCCCTGATCTATGCTGCCCCCCTGCCTCCTCCCCCACATCTCGAGGGCCCTGCACCGTGGGGCTGGCTGCCATATGGTGCTGCACGGGCCCTGCCACCTCTCCTGTGGTCACGTAACTGCTGGGCATACCGGCTCCGCTGGGGGCTGCTGCAGGTCCCAGCGGGCATCAGCCACCCCCCTGCGAGGATAGACGCGGGAGCATGTTCCAGCGTGTATTAGCGTGTGGTCGCATGGGCTGGCACGTGTTGGGGCCTGTGCGCATGTGTGGGGCATGTTGTGGCGTGCACTGGCGTGTGCAGGCGTGTGCCTGGGACCATTGTCACCTGCCCCCCGTTCCCTTCCAGGAGCGCCGTTTGCACATGTACGTCGTTTACTGCCAGAACAAACCCAAATCGGAGCACATTGTCTCTGAGTACATCGACTCCTATTTTGAGGTGAGGGGACCCTGGCTTCCCCATCCGGCCCCTCTATGACCCCCCCCCGGTGGGACTCTGGTGACCCCCCCCCCCCCCCCCCCACTCCCCCCCCTGCACCCTGCCCCATCCGCCCCCCCCTCGCTCCCCAGTTCCCCCTGTCTGACCCCCCTCTTGCTGTCCTGCCTCACCCCTTCCAACCCCCCCCAACCTCACTCCCCCAGCCAGGATCCCACCTCACTCCATCCAACCCCCCCTCGCTCCCTGAGCTGGGACCCCACCTCATCCCATCCAACCCCCACCGCTTCCCGGCTCGTCTGACCCCCACACACACTTACTGCCCCAGCCAGAACCCCAGTTTGCCCCATCTGCCCCCCACCCTGGCTGGACCCTCCTGGAGGTGGGCGGGACCGGGCCAGTGGGGAGCACGAGGGGGCCAATGTGCTGCCTCTGTTTCCCCAGGAGCTGAAGCAGGAGCTGGGCCACAGGCTGCAGCTCAATGACTTGCTGATCAAGCCGGTGCAGAGGATAATGAAATACCAGCTGCTGCTCAAGGTGAGAAAAGTCTGCCAGGGCCAGCCGCGCTCCGCCCCAGAGCCAGCCGCCCACACCGGGCTGCCCAGGGCCAGAGGCGTTCCGCCCCAGAGCCAACTGCCCACACCAGGCTGCCCAGGGCTGGGGATGCTCCGCCCCAGAGCCATCCCAACATCTCTGCGATGCCCCTCAACCCCGACCCACAGCCCCCTGCTAGCCCCGCTGCTAGCCCTGGCTTCTTGGGAGCGTAAACACCTGCTCTGGGTTCTGCTGAAGGCTTGGTGTAAAAAGCAGCGAACCCAGCGTCTTGGGGACCCGGCCCTGTGAGCCAAGTGGAACAGGGTGGCTCTGAACCAGGCTCCCAGCCCTAGCGTCCTGCCCTGGCACACTGCCAGGGGGCACGAGCCATCTGCTTCTTCCTCCTGCCCTGTCCATGTTAGGAGGGACGCCATCTGCTTGGGGGTTAATTGGGGCCATTGCCAGCCCCTTGGGGGGGTCGGGGCACCCCCTTTCCCATCCCTCAGTCCTGTTTTCTCTTGCGTCCCAGGATTTCCTGAAGTACTACAGCAAGGCCGGGATGGACACGGAGCAGCTGGAGGTAGGGCCGGCGAGAGCCGGGAGCTGGGGGGCGCCCGGCCCATAAGCCTCTGCCCAGGGCAAGGCCCCACTGGGCTGGGGGTCGCCTTCTGAAAATGGACCATCCCAGTCCTGTAGTATTGTCGGGGGGATTGGGCAGCGTTTCCATGGGGACAGGGTGAGGTTGCCAGGGGGCAGCAGGCAGCGTTTCCATGGGAACTGGGGGACCACGGGGCAGCATCTCCATGGGGACCAGGAGGGCAGTGGTCAGCTTTTACGTGGGGACCAGAAAGGGCACGGGGCAGCGTCTCCGTGGGGATTGGAGGGGGCAAGGGGCAACGTCTCCGTGGGGACCGGAGGGGGCACGGGGCAGCGTCTCCGTGGGGACCGGAGGGGGCAAGGGGCAACGTCTCCGTAGGGACCGGAGGGAGCACGGGGCAGCGTCTCCGTGGGGACCGGAGGGGGCAAGGGGCAATGTCTCCATAGGGACCGGAGGGGGCAAGGGGCAACGTCTCCGTGGGGACCGGAGGGGGCAAGGGGCAACGTCTCCGTGGGGACCGGAGGGAGCAAGGGGCAACGTCTCCGTGGGGACCGGAGGGGGCACGGGGCAGTGTCTACGTGGGGACCGGAGGGGACAAGGGGCAATGTCTCCGTAGGGACCGGAGGGGGCACGGGGCAGCGTCTCCATGGGGACCGGAGCGGGTGTTTGCCAGGGAGGTTCATCCTGGGGTTGGTTCAGTTCCCATTGGGAAAATGAAAGCAACTGGGTCATTACATGGGCAGTGGGGGGGGGCCCGAGTCTGGGGATAACCCACCCAACTCTGCCAGTGCCCCTCACTCCTGACTTGCAGCCCCAAGTATCTGCAGCTCCTGCCCCCCAGGGCGCACGGGGCCCAGGGCCTCCCCCCGGCTATCACCCCCCCTTGCCTCGCAGAAAGCCGTGGAGGTGATGTGCTTCGTGCCCAAGCGCTGCAACGACATGATGAACGTGGGGCGGCTGCAGGGGTTTGAGGTAGGAGTTGGGGGGCGGGGGGGGGCTCCAATCAACCGTCTCCCCCCCACGCGTAGGCCCTGTGCTGGGGCAGCCTTTGCTCCCGCTGCAGGGGGATGGAGTAGGGTCTGCTATCAGCCTGCCATGGCCCCCCCAGGGGCACTTGAGGACCCGGGGATGTGGGGGGGGATTAGGGGGTCTGTGCCCACTGGGGGGGGTTGAGGGGTTCATGTCCCTGTGGGGTGTTGGGGGGGGGGCATGGCTCTTTGCCCATATTCCAGGGTGCCGAGACGGTTCCTTGCTGCGTTCTGCCCTCTCGCCTGTTCGCCGAGCGGCCACCAGGGGGCACCGATTTCCCCCAAGGATTCCCTGGAACTGGGATCCGAACCTGAGCACCCCAGTGGGTCCCGTGGGGCCGTGGCTGTCCCCTGATTGGCCAGATGGAATGGGTGCTGATGGGGGGCTGGGGCGTGGTCAGGTGGGGGCGCTGGCCGCGTGGGTTAGGTGTTGGTGGGGCGCAGGGGGGTGACAGGAAGTTGGGGGGGCTGGGGTAGGGGTGCTTTTGGCCCCCACGTGACCCCTCCCACCCCACCCCCCAGGGCAAGCTGACGGCGCAGGGGAAGCTGCTGCAACAGGACACCTTCTGGGTGACGGAGCAGGACGGCGGGTTCCTGCCGCGCTGCAGGGAGCGCCGCGTCTTCCTCTTCGAGCAGCTCGTCATCCTCAGCGAGCCGCTGGAGCGGCGCAAGGCCTTCGCCACGCCCGCCTACCTCTTCAAGAGCAGCATCAAGGTACGGCCGGGAGCCCCGCCTCCAGCCAGGGAGCCCCGTCCCCACCTCTAGCGGGCCCCACCCCCACCTCTAGTGGGCCACACCCCACCCATGGAGTCCCGCCCCTGGCAGGCCACACCCCAACTCTAGCAGGCCACACCCACCCATGGAGCCCCGCCCTGACAGGCCCCACCCCCACCTCTAGCAGACCACACCCACCCATGGAGCTCCGCCCCTGGCTGGCCCTGCCCCCACCCATGGAGCCCCACCTCTGGCAAGCCATGGCCCCACCAGGGAGCCCTGCCTTTATCAGACCCTGCCCATGCCAGAAGCCCAGCTCCCACCAGGGAGCCTCACCCCATCCTAGCCTCAGGAAGCTCCGCCCACCCAGGCAAGTCCCGCCTCTCAGAGGAGCCTCCTACCCCCTTTGGTGAGACCCAAATGGTTGGAAGCTGGTGCCCAGTCCAGAGCTCGAACCCTGGGAGCATCTTGCGGGGCAGGACCCACGACCTGCCCCCCAACACACACACAGCAAAGGGGGCAAAATGGGGTTCACAGGCACCTTCCCAGGGGCAGCTGCCAAAGGGAGCGGGAAGTGAGGGGCTGGGACCTCATGTGCTGTGGCCCCTGCAGCCCTCTGCCACTGCACCCTCCCCGCCCTGTGACCCACGCCTGGGGGTCGCTCCCCGCCACTGCAC